GACGCTAGTCAAGTTACACTCATACATGGAGGTGAGATTCAGATCTCACGTAAAAATAACGTTTGGTACTTACTGTACAAAAAAAAACATGATGATCGCTGCTTACAAACTTGAAGATAAATGCAGCCCCAGACATTACCAACCACATCAGGTCCGAGAAACTTGAGGGAGAGGGTACGTCATCGATGATATCACTGTGAGCTGGAAAGTTTCGGATTTTGGAGGTTTTCGGATTTTGGAATTTCGGATAAAGGATTTTCAACCTGTAGTATAATTACAACTGTTTCTGCTCCTACAGCTCCTGCTGCGAACATGACAACTGGTGACGCCCGTGATATTACGCCCAGCTTACTTACTCAGTCAAATACACCGGGACCTGGATGATGGGATCTGGAAGAGAACAGGAGAGCTGTCAGAGGGCGACGGACACTTCCAGGCAGCACAGCGAGCAGGACGAACAAGGGGCTGACCTTCCTTCAGGGTCCACTTGATGGCGCCGGTCTGCTTGCTGACCGCATGGAGGTTTCCGTCCAGCGTGGACACGAACAGCAGGGTTTCTGGGAGCGTCACCGAGCTGCCAGCCCTGCCCTGGAGACGGGGAGCAAGCGGGAGAGAGATTCGCCATCCCCCTCTATGACAGGCTTGCAGAAATGAAGAGCACGTTCAGCAAGAGAATGATTCATCCCCGGTGCGACAGGGAGCGCTACAGGAGGTCATTCTTGCCTTCTGCCATAAGACTGTACAACGCATCCACCTTGCATCTGGGCAGAGGCAACATTGACAGTGACCTGTTTCTGGACTGAACAGTAAACTGCTACATCTGTTCTTTTTCTTTTCCCGTTTACAACTGCTTTTTGTGCAATATATGCCAGGGACCAGTGCAATACATCTATATTTATATTCATACATGCATTACGATTTTTCTGCGTACTATTCTGTTCTAGTCTGTTCGGGACTGTGAGTAACTCTTTTAGGTCACCCCTCACTGTACTGATTGTATTGTATGTATTGTATTATTATTATTGTATCATTTGTTACACTGTGGCTGTGTTGTCTGTGTTAAGCTGCTGTTGCACTGCAATTTCCCTCACGGGATCAATAAAGTACCTATCCATCTATTACACACAGCTTTGCCTTCACATAAACCCAGGGAGGAATTCTGAAACAAGGTTCAAGTAATCATCGCCTGAAATTCTTCCTGATGAGAACATAAGAAATGATAGGAATGACAGGAGGTGGGCAGCAAGATGGCACAGCAGTCAGCATTGCCGCCCTGCAGTGCTAGGACTCGGGGTTCAATTCCTGGAGTGCTGTACGTGTGGAGTTTGCATGTTTCCTCTGGGTGATCCGGTTCCCTCCCACAGTCCAAAGACAAGCTGGTAGGTGAATTAGCTGCTGGGAAGATCCCTGAGGTGAGTGTGTGTGTGTGGTTGTGTCTGCCCTAAGAAGGACTGGTCTGGATGGGCTGTTCTGTGTTTGCAGTGTGGTCAGGAACTGGCAGGACAGGCCTCCCACGCTAAGAATAGGCTGAGTCTGTTCCTGATCATGAGAACTTGGGCAGTGTAGTGTGCAGTGTTATCAATTCCGTCTATACTGAGCTGTAAATGTGCAGTACTGTCAGTCTAGCCCAGTCTATACGGTTCTGTTTAGCGTGCAGGACTCCAGAACAGTCTATACTGAGCTGTAACTGCAAAGCAGTGTTAGTTCAGTCTATTCTGTAATATACCGTGGACAGTACTGTCAGGCAGGACTGGCCATGCTGCTCATACTGAGCTGTAAGTGTACAGTGCTGTAGACTGAGCAGGCAGGCCAGTACTGTGCAGCAGTGTGTATGGAAATGCTCAGCATGAGGGAGCAGCTGACTGTAAAAGGCTGGTCCCTCTACCAGGATATCCTGGAGCTCAAGAGCTCAACTCCCCCCTGTTCCTCCACCTGCCTGGCACTGACCTCACTCACTCACACACCTCAACATGCCCAGCATGAACAGCCCTACTACAGCCTCACCCACATGCCTTCCTTTGCAGGACCACAGATAGCAGTGTGCGCCACTGTTAGCACACCTGCCCATATAAACACTACAGTTCCTTAGGAAGAGGAGGCTGATCGTTTGTATGAAACTTTATTACGAGCTAGTGAATAATTATATATGAACAACGAACATTTGCTTTATTTAAATGGCTCAAAAGGCAGTCCCCTATACTTCAAACCGGTGGCCTAACTCCAGCCCCGCAGAGGCTAACTGACAGGAAAGCTCTTGGCTTAAACAAGTGGGCTCTCACGGTTACAGGCCTAAGTGAGTTATATTTCCAGGCCTGAGCTTCCTAGCAGAGCAAGCAGGGGAGAGTTAGAATTTCTGTGTTCATCCCCTGGCTCCTTTCCACCTCGGCCTGTCAGATAAGGTTGCCTTGACCTTGCCGGCTGCCCTTCTTAGCTACCCCAGCTGTTCGCTGCTTCCCTGCCCAGATCTGTAGCTGCAGCGCTCAGGCTGTTCCGACTGCTGACTTCACGGGTTACAGGCTAAGACCTGTCCGGCTCATCCAGACTGTTCGGCAAGTAGGAGCTCACGGATCAGAGGGTCTCAATCGGCCATTTCTTGAAAGAAACCAAATTGCTTAGAAAAACAGCCTGGGCTGCTTGTTCCACGCTTCCTCGGTTTAAAATGCACTTCCCTGCGGTTTCCACGTGCGCCCCCCTGATCTCGGCCTCTCACTGGCCTCTACAGCCATCAGACACGCAGGCAGACAATCAGACAGGAAACGGAGCCAGAAAACAAGAGGTGGCCTTATGTCGTCCTCTGCCGTGTTGATTAACCATTTGCGGGCGAGTGCGGCGAGCTGGAGCTGAGCTTAAACAGGCGAGGCACTAAAACGTGACTGCAGGCAGGAGCCTCGCCCATATTTACTCAGGGGGGACTGGCAGTCTTGACGAGTTCGGCTCTATGGCCGCTTTCAGACTCGAGTGCAGGCTGTGCTTTTGGCAAGTACCATGATTTTACCACATCTTCACCTCCGCGTGTGTAAAAGCCACCGTCCTGCTGGTCGGGGACCCCCCCTGCCTGTTTTTCTCCCCCCGCCCTGCAGCTGGAATCATCGCCTAGACGCCTCCCGGTGGGAGTCAACACACCACACCTTCAGGAGAGCTTCTCTCCTGATCCGTCTTCAACTTCGGCCGTTATGTTTGTCCCCGGATCTGCTCTGCCGTGACAAAGCCGAAGGTCTAGTTTTTCAGGATGAAGCTATGGACGGCAAGCCGCAGAGTACACAGCGGTTTTAATCGTCGGGTGCAGGGCTGCAGGGCAAGGCATCTAAGCCACCTCCCAGCTCCTGGATCTGTTACACCTGTTGCCTTACTCTACGCCATCTTTCACAGGCAGGCATTTGCACTTAATGTTTTGGAGGGTTGTGCTTTTTTGCTTCAATAGCGTGATTTCTCCTGCTCAACTCAGGATGCATTTTGATTTCTGTTCAATGCACTCTCCAGCAGCTGTTGTGGTAGTTTTTCCTCATCTGATTAAAGTAACACTTCTGTACAAATGGGCACAAATTAACCCTCCCTCCCCCCCTTTGCTCTGCCACAGTACCCAGGGATGACCTCAGCAATTGCTTTTTCTGTGGCACACTGTGGCAGGGTAAGCTGGTAGTACCCATGGACACGTTGCACCATTGGAAGGCTCTATCCTGAAGGAGCTGTGATCCAAGAGCATGATCAGCCTCTTCCCAGGTCATTTAACACAGAGCCCGAGTCTGCAGGCTGTGAGGACTGCACATGGCCATGACTCAGTCAAATGCACACTGTGCCACCCACACCGTCAGACACAATGCACTGTTGTTTAACTGCATGTCAGCCAGGAAACTGCATTGCCTGCTATTAAGAGAAGCTGGCAGTGACATGCTCAGCAGTGCAGCTACAGCACAGCCTCTGACTCCGACAGGCTGCTGATGCAGCGTGGCTCATGTTGAACACATGGCACTGAGTGCAACAGAGAGTCGCAGAAATGATGTCACCCCCCCCCGAAATCCATACACGGTGAAACTCAGCAGTGGCAGAGGATCTGGGCAGCCACAGACAGTGCATGCTTGGGGTCCACAAGCGATCGGGATCGAATTCCAGCAGGGATGAGGGAGGGCTGCCCCCGTCACACAAGCACACAGTTGTGTAGAGAGTGGGGCACTCACTCGAGGAGTGAAACCCAAGAGTGAGCTAGGAGCAAACATTTAAACAGAGAAGCAAACAGACGAAGTGCCGAGATACGCACCTAACCCTAGCGTTTAAGACATTAACAAAGCAAAATAAGCTTCAGACACTGAGTGATTCTAAAAATGCATACTTTCACCACGCCACCTGGTTTATCTCCGAAATAAATCTCAGGGTATAGAGTCAGCATTAAACTGTGCCTCAAAAGTAACTTCGTGCATGGGTTACGATGCTGCCCAATCAGTGCCTGGGGTTAAGACTCATCAGGGCTGGAGTTAAGGTTGAACATTTCTTCTTTGCACACACTGGGAAGCTCTGTCACACATGCCCAAGAACAGAAGAAGAACAAGAGGTTACCTGTGCCAGTCAGGCGAGAGAGACTGCAAATAGAGTTTGACTAGACAAACCCACCATGTGCTCAATACCAGAGAGACACTGAGGAAGGAGGAAGCAAGCCTCAGAGTGGGTCTCGGACTCAGGTCCTGGAGGGCCTAGCCTAGCGTCTTCTCCTGATGCTTCCAACATGAGTTGTCAATTAAACAATTAACCTCTTGTAATTCTTTCCTGACATATACTGGATGTTCCATAAGGTCTTTAACAATCACCTCATTGGAATGTACCTATAAAATACTTTGGAGCCAAATTAGAAATAAAACAATCACCCAGTTAAGTACACGATTAAACCCAACGTTTAACTGAGAATGAGGAACAAAAACAGGAGACTCATCAGGAATTGAATCTGACAGCCCTGGTTTATGAACAATCCTGATTTTCAACAGGGACAGATTTTACACAAGGGGTGTTCTGTTTCATCCACTTTAATTTCGGGATTACCGTTCATTTCGTAGTTCGTACACACTGCATTTTATTCAAATTACTAGAAAATTATTAATTAGGTCACCCCAGGTTTATCCCTTCCTGCATCTAGTTTCGTCCCTTTTGTTGTTTTCCAGGTTGGAAAACTCTCTCTGCAGGTCTAGAAATAACCGCACGAACCGAGCCGGCCGGCGAGTCAAACGGTTCTCAAATCCTACCTGAAGAATTTCTCCTCCCAAAAGCAGTAGCAGAAACAGCAGCGACCGTCCCTTCAGCTTCATTGTCCGCACTTTTTTTTGAACAGTGAAATCGGTTTAAAAATGGATCTGCAAATTAAAAGCGACTTAAAAATCCCAACTCGGAAACTCGATGATAGAAAGTTTTTTTTCTTCCCGTTTCTAATGTCCGCGCCATTTTAATCCGGTTACTGTTCGGTACCCATTGTGTCCCGTTGCTATCGTGAATTTCACTGTTAGCCTCACAGACTGCGAAGGTGCAACAGTCCACGCAGGACAGGACACTGCAGCCCACCGGATCATAACAAACACTCCACATTTCCGTGATGGGACGGAACCGGTGACGTCACGCAAACACTAGACTTGGTCTGTCAAAGTGAGTGGGCGGAGCCGCCGCTCCCGGGCAACCAATCAGAAGGTCGGATTCAGGGAGAAGGCCGTTCAACCACCGCTTGACCTTTCCGGAAGCAGGAGGAAACCTTAGAAAATGCTGGATGTCAGGTTGCGACACGTGGAATAACAGACAGAGGGCTCCTTTTGTGTGCCCGTTTTGAAGAAGAATAATAGAGATTGTAATAGAAACGGGGAAGTCCCGACTGTGGTTTTACTTAAAAACTGTGTAAATACTTCTAGATACCGCCACCGTTGGTAGGGTGAAGCTGTGAAACCACATACACAAAAAATCTATTAAAAAGAATTTAAACAGAACTTAAAGAGAATAAAAAGAATAAAAAAAAATAAAATAATCGTGCGCAGCTTGTGTATTTGAGATAAAATCTAAACTAACATGAACAGTAATGACTTCCCGACGTTCAGGCACGTTCTGCATGCCCAGGGAAACTGCACTGCTGTTGCCCCGGCGTGACCCACCCGTGTCGGGACCACGGCGGTTAAAATTCTATTCGGTACTGTTCTGGTGCTGGAGGAGTGGGTCATTGTTAAGATGCACAAGAACAGACGTTAATTAGCTTCAGGTTTTTCATTTTGGATCCCCGAGCTGACCTGTGTGGGTGGGGACATTTTGCTGCCGCTGCATTTGGCCAAGCTAAAACTGCGTGTTGGCCGAGTCACCGAGACACCCCGGTGCGCTGGGCTCACCTGTACAGCGGATTCGTCAAAATGGCGGTCCTCAGCTTCTTCGTGTCAGGCCACCCAAAACCCAGCCCAGAGGCCACCAGTACTTCTAGTACGAACCACTTCTGACAACCCCTTCCCTCCTTCTAAAACACAAGACGTAATTGAGTGCTGGTCAAGCTTTGTTATGGTCTCAGGCCTTGTCTGGCGCACTATGTAAATATGGAAGCTCCCCCACTGCTGGAAAAGACACCACCATCTCATTCACTGTGCTAATCCTGCAGCCCTATGTGTCCAGCAAGAAATAAATGATCCACTTCCAAAGGTAGGCCTGGGCTGGTTAAATGCTGGCTCTTGCTCTGTCTCAAGACGTTGGCATCTCCTGCTGGTGCTCATTTGACCTTTGACCTCCGACCTCTGCCCCCCTCCCCACAAATTCAACAAGACGAAGCACGCAGTAACCCCTTGTCCATGAACAGCTTTATTTAAAGGGGGGGGTTGGCTGCTTTTTTAGCTCCGGCTTTACAAATACAGCTTCAACTTGTAGAAATACAGCGTCATTAAAACTTACCATGGAGACACCTGGCAACTACAAAACAGGACATCCACGAACACTGACAGAGACACGCAACACCGTTTGTTTATTATTCGGTGCTGGTCTAATACATCGATAAGCAGCCCAGCCTCCCGGAATACAGATTACAAAGGCAACAGGGAGTGGGTGACCTGTCACAGTGTAAGGAATGGTGTCGGAAAGGGGACGATCCATCCATTTTCCAACTCTATCCAATTCAGGGTCACTGGGGAGACGGAGCCTATCCTGGCAAGCAACGGGCACAAATCAGGGCACACCCTGCTTGGTCCATGGCCAGGCACACACAGACACGTAAACACTCACTCCAGGGTCAGTTTTCCCAAAAGCCAATGAACCGACCAGCGTCCCAGGTGCAGAATTGAACCCAGGGCCCCAATGCTGCGAGGTAGCAATGCCGACCACTGCTTCACCATACCATTTGGGGACAACCCAAGAGTTCCCCAAATTTGTTTTCTTACTGTCCAGGTGGTCTCCAGTGGCTGCTTCTGGGCCTCTGCCAGACTAGATCACATCTGAATCAGACGTCTGAGTGTGCACCAATGTGTAAACCAACTGAAGCACACTCTTATGGGTGGAGTGGTGGCACTGTGGCTGAGGATCTGTGGCTGGAAGGTTGCCGGTTCAAATCCTGCGGCTGGCAGAGGAATCCTACTCCGCTGGGCCCCTGAGCAAGGCCCTTACCCCCAGCTGCTCCAGGGGCGCTGTATAAATGACTGACCCTGCGCTCTGACCCCAAGCTTCTCTCCCTGTCTGTGTGTCTCATGGAGAGCAAGCTGGGGTATGCGAAAAGACAAATTCCTAATGCAAGAAATTGTATATGGCCAATAAAGTGATCTTATCTGATCTTTATCCTTGGTGCGCTCTTCAAAGCACACACTTGCTAGCCTGGATAAGTTCCGGCCAGAACATTGGAAGCAGAATGGATCACTCCCTGAAGTGTGCATCTGTGGTGTTTCTTACAGCGCTGGTCACACAAAGTGAGGGGACAGGCTCCTTTCAGAGCCCTTTTTAGCATTTTGGACAGTGTTAAGAAATGGCTTCCAAATTAAAAAAAGACCGTTTGTCCCATCCTGCTGACTCCAGTCAGAAACCTCAAAGATGCCGGCCACACAGGCTTATTTTATTTCATAAAATAATATGCTAGAAATATTTAAAAAATAAGATTGTTTAAAAAAACGCAGGGGGTGTGATGTTCTTAGTTTTACACCGGATCTTTCTGAAAACAAACTGTGACTTTTCACTGGCACACAGTCACAGACGCATAAAGGGACGTTCGGTTCTAAAGCACTGTGTCTTCTTTGTCAGGGATAGCACATCACCCTGCTGCTAAAATTCTCTGCAACCCCTCAGCGGCACTGGGGAACTGGAGAAGATTAAAAAGCATTGAGTGCAGCGTGTTCAGGCACGTTCTGTATGGCCCATGAAAACTGCGCTGGTGTTTGCCGAAAATGGGGCCAACAGTGCAATCGATACTGGCCTGCAGTCTTTGACACACTGCAATCGATACTGGTCTGCAGTCTTCGACACATCGCAATCGATACTGGTCTGCAGTCTGTGACACTGCA